GCTTCATGTGACAAAGGCAGCTAAGGTCTTCAGGGTGCTTTTTATACTTGAGTGAATTCTTGCCAGTTCCAACAAATGGAGCATTTGTGGGGAAAAGTTGGAGTTGAGGTGGTTCCTAAATATTTCTGATTGAAAAGTAAAGACAATAGGCACTAGAAAGAAGTAAACATGCAATTTGCCTAGAGAGAGCTATCTGGTTAATACATGTGGAGGAAAGAGCATCCATAAAGTAGTGAGATGGATTGGTAGCATAACATTTGTGCTAGAATAAGTTCAAATTATTAAATAGTGATGTAGTGAAGCATAGCAGGAAAAGTTTGCATTTGAAATGGTTGAATTTTGGAGGGACGCTAAGAAAATAGCAGTGAAGATAAATGTGGAAAGGGAGTGCGTTTTATACTTTGGTATGAACTTCAAGGTCTGAATGATTCATACATGAAAGCACGTTTCTCAAAATGTTTTACTGATTCTGTTAGTTCAGTTCTTTGTTTTCTTGAAAACATGAGAGTTGACATAGTGGACTGCACTGCAGGTGTTGTGAAAAACTGTACATTTAGCAGTTAATTTTTGTAGGGGGAGAATGTTTCTGTAGATGCTTTTTTAAAAAGAAGGTAAGAAGACTCTTCATACTAATGCACTTGAATGTTGGTTCACGTACTAATAGAAGGACAGTGAGTGCTGTTTGCAGACTCATCTCTGTACTGGATGTAGAACAATCAACTAGCAGGGTCTCTTAAGAGACCCTGTTGCATGGTGGGAAAGAATTTCCTGGAGGAGGGTGTGGGAGGAGAAAGACAAGTTACTGTGATTGTCTATTCAGAAGTTTAACCTGAGTTTGGTTATCTGCCTGGGAGATAACAGGATTACTGGAAAGTTAGTTCAGGGAGATCTCCTCCTTCTCAGGGCAGGATCAGCTGTAAGGCCTGAGCAGGTTGCCTAAAGCTTTTCCGGTTGGGTATTGGCACTCTTCGAGGACAGAGGATGCCCGGTTCTGGGGTCAGTGGGCTCTGCTACACCCTCATGGGTGCAAAAATGTATGGTGTATTTATCCAATTAAGTCTTTTTCTTAATCTGTCTAGTGGGACTATATGGCCCTCATCAAAAAGCGAAAATTTTGAAAAGGACGACTTCAGGATTTGAACAGGGAGAGGTGGTTTTGTTCTGAAATAAGCACATTGCTTAAGAGAAACAAACAGTTAAGCATGTTTGAAATTGGATGTTAAGGTGTTTTTGCAGCCATTGAGACAATTTTAATTGTTAAATTATGGATTTGAATTAACAGATACTTACCTAAAAGTTATGTGAATAAGTGAATGCTGTCAATTCTAGCCTAACTCTGAAGATCTGAAACTCGCTATAAAATTGCATATTTCTGTGGCATATTTTAGGGTGAATTCTACTAGCTCTCCTTCAGAATGTCTAAGGCACAGTATTCTTACTGATACTATATTGCAATTTTTCCCCCTTTTCTTTGAGCAATTCTTCACCAGCTGGGTTTATGATCGTGACATCTTCTCATGGGTTTATTAATGTTCAACAGCTGTGTTCTGCTTTAAAAAAAAAAAAAAGTTTGTATTGCATTCCAGTAGTTCTCCTGTTGTCTTCAAATTAACTTTTGGGTTTATTCTGCCTCCAATTAAGGCAGAATTGAAAATGTTTTTTAGAATTGTGTATGAGGGAAAAGAAGCATATAAGGAGCAGAAGTGTAAAATTGGAGAAATAGTAGATAATTTGTTAGAACTTCTAGGGCCTTAGATTTTGTAATGGCGGTCTTAAACTTTTACTGTTGAACATTTGAGATTATGTAATGCTTTGCTCATCATTGATTGTGCAAGTATAATAGCTTGACCAGCAGCTGTATTTGAAAGCAATCATAATGTTAATACAGTTTCTCAGCCCGCACACTGGGCTGTTGTACGAAGATCTGTGTGGACAGAAAATAAGCCTGTAACAGATTTTAAGACTTTCCTGAGGGCGCTTAATTTTTAACTTTAACACTGTAAAGTTTGAGGGTGGGGGATGATGAAAGCAACTTGTATGTTGACCGTATCTGCGCTATTTCTGAAATTCTTTTAAAATCTTTTTAACCATAAGGAATTCATTAGGTTGTCCCCATATTGTCTAGTTCAAGAAGCCTAAAGCACTTTGTGCTTCAAGTTTATAACCATTTTTTGCATGTATGTCTCAAGTTCATTCTTTATGTAGATTGCATGCAATGTGTTCTGTTGCAAAGTATTTTCTCAGTATAGAAATCAGCGACACCCATTACTTCTGCAGTAGCTTCATCTTAAAAACAAGTGTGAAGTGTTTTTAGAAAGCTCTTTGATGTCAAAATGGGTAAAGAGTTTTTGATGCTTTTTTTTACCAGTGGTGCAGGCTGTGTACATGATCAATCATAAGCTATTTTCTTTTATTGAAAATAACTTGATGCTTGATTAAAAATTGAGAGCTTTTGTGATAAGAGTTTTTAGTACCTACAGAAATGACGGTCATCCAGAAGTAACTATCTGCATTGGTCTATTTGACAATATCAGTTTGCGTGATTTTAAATTCCTGATACAGCCCAGGTGCTGCACAGGTGTTTTCGAATTAATCTAGACATTTAGGGCTTTGTAAAGAAAACTGAAAATCATCAACTACAGCCCGTGTGGCTCATAGATCAGTAGCTATTAGTATATCTGATGTGGAATGCTTGACTTCATTTTGACAGGTGCATATTCCTTTCAGGATTTAAATGCTACTGTTCCAGGTTACGTCTTGAACCCAAAAGGCTATAGAGATTTTTGGTTTTTTAGGAGCTTAGTGCAACTATCTGTAGGCTGAACGATACTCCCAAAAATTATTTGCAGACCATTTTAACCTCTGGGAAATCTTTATTTAGGCTCAGTACAGTGAAAACACTTTTCTTTCACAGAAATTTTTAAGTGACTTATGAGGAAAAAAACCCATGCATGTCTTTTTGAGTATGTCTGTACATCATCTTTCTGGTAAACCATGTAAATCTCAGATCAAATTTGAAAGTAATAAAAACATTATTAAAAAAACCCCAAACACTCCAAAACTTCATTTTTAGTGGCTTTAGAACTATTTGCTGAATGCAAACCAGAGATTTATGCTCCGACATCATGCTTAGTGATATGGAGGAGAGGGGGAAGTAAAGTAGAGGTATGAGAAACATCAGGGAGTCCCTTACCTACTCTCTACTGTAAAATTTGTCTTTTCCAGAGAAAATTGCTGTGGAAGGGATCTTCAGACTTCAGTGTTATCTGTGTTAAGCGCTGGTCTGGCTGACATGCATCTCGGTGACAAAAGTACTCCTAAAATTGTTATCCTATTACATCATGTAGAAGTACTTGCAGACTTCTTATGTGAGGAAGTTTTTTTTTTTTCTCCCCATAATCTTTGCAGTCTTTGTTATTTTGAGATTAAAAATTCCATGGTAACCTATGGAGAAATGTTAATAATGCTTGAAAGTTATCAGCCTCCAAGAGATAATCTTTGATCTATGATATTATCATATTATTTCCCAGGAGAAAGAGAGCTGTTTTCTTCAAATCCTCAAGCTTTGAAGCAAGCTGCAATGTAGAAAATAATTTGAATCTTATTAACTAGAAAAAATGCTGTCTGAGTTACTTCCAGTTTGCTGCTAAAGGTTTTCATAAGCTCTGATGGATTTAAAAATTATTAGCGATCTGGACACTTAGACTGTCCAGGCAATAGGGATTTCTTTAGAAATCTTTGCTGTAGTCTGTTAGTTTAAATGAATCTGGTAATATAAGTGTTTCTAAACCTATAATTCTTACCAATCTAGATGAGAGGTACTGAATGGCAGAAACACCAAATGTGTCCCTGCTCTACCTTCATCGTAGACTGCCTTGACTCTTTTTGTGTTCAGTGGGAGACCCTGAGTTTCATGTTCTTACTCTCAACCTGCTGAAATCACACAATCTGGTTGATAACTTGTCACTAGATGATGTCTGTTCAGCTGAATCCTGCCTTGTTAAATTGCGCACTGTGCAAGAGAAGTGTCCTTTTATATTTTGGGTAAACCTCAAGTATGTATGGGAATACCAGATGAGAGTGCTGTACTGTCCTTTCTAAGAACTGCTTATCCTGTGGGAGCGTAATGGCTTTGGATTGGCTAGAAACACTGCAAAACAACATTGAGTAATTTTAGAACGCAAAAACTTTGTAACAGTTACTATGACACTGGGCACCTAGAAATGAAGGTAAGCAGCAGTTCTGGTTAAATCTACTTTACCCAAGGGTTCTGCCTGGCTTGTCTAAATAAAGAGATTCCTGATCTCTTGACTGGGATCCAGTCCTTGGGTCTTGAATGGCAGCGGTTTCACACCATCATGAGCACTTCCATAGTTGCAAATTCTTCCTGTGATTACTTGTTGACAGGTAGAATAGCTCCTGAATCTCTAATATATGGGCACACACAAGCATGAAATCAGTCGGTCAGCAGTGAATAGAAAGCAGTTGCACAGATGGCATAAGCTGCGCCTTCTTTTCTCATACTTTGGCAGTTTCAAATAAAAAAAATGGTGCTCTTCTGATTATGTACGTTGTCACAGTTTTGTTGTAAGGGTGATATGATCTTCATAAAGCAGATCTGTTTTGTTGTCACTTGTGAAGGTGGAAGGGAGAGCTACACTGTTTGTTGCACTGCTGTGGAAGGACTGTGAATAGTCCTCAAGGGGGAGGAAGCCTAAAGGCACAATGGAGGTGACAACAGTACGTGGCAATGTTAGGAATGGGTTCTTTCAGTCAGCAAAAGTTTGAGGGAACAAACTTTCTCAAGTTCCCTCGAGATTTTTAGTTGTTTTGTAATAACTCTTCTCCACCCTTGTTTGGCTTCATATTGTTCCCAAGGGTTTGGTAGTAGCTCATCCTGAAAGCTAGTTGTGCTCAAAATATGTTTGTAGGAGATCTTTGCACATGTAATGAACGGATGTGTACAACCACTGTGTCTGTTTTTTCTCTCTTAGCAACAAGGTGTTGGTCGGCCAAGTGTATACCATGCGGTGGTGGTCATATTTCTAGAATTCTTTGCCTGGGGGCTCTTGACAACTCCAATGCTAACAGTAAGTATCACTCATCAGCTGTTGTCTTGACAGGAATAACACAAATTAATTTGCTAATTCTTAGGGATTGGGGTTTTAATTTGTTTTACACTTCCTGCTTACCTCATTAACTGAATTCCAGGAATCTTAACATTCAACACTGTGCCATAGTTGTATACTACAAGTGAGATCTGGACTGCTCTAAGACTAAAAGATAGTGAAAAGTAAATTAGCAAAATGCTGTACTTCCTAACCTTTATTTGCCTTTTAGAGTAACATCATTTTAGTGTATTAGTGAAAGTCTCTCTGGAAATGCTGGCTTTTTATGAGACTGTGTAGTTCAATTCATCTTTCAGTCATAACAATTGAATAAACTATATATCTCATAGTAAACTTTGTACACTATTGTGGGCTGGCTGTTTTGCTAGCATGTAACTTGAAGTAAAATATAAAGGCTTTCATCTAAGAAATGGATAAGTATTTAATCCCTTCTGGAATGCAGTTATTTTCCAGGTGAATAGATAATTTGAGTGTTTGGTAATAGGATGTGAAGCCTTTCATCTGAAGACATGGGTCTTATTCATTGGAATCAGGCCTGCGTGAGAGAAGTCGTCAGAAGTCTGTTAGTCCAGTTTTTAATCAGATAATATCTGAGAGCACTTCGAATACATGATGAGCAAGGTCTTGTGGGATTGAAACACCTTGGAGTTAATTGTTTTCCATCCCCAAACTCCAAATAAATCCTCTACATAACTCTTGAAAGGTCTAACCTTCCCAAAGACAATCACTGATCTTTTTAACATAGCTTAATGATAAACGAGTCCATATAAACAAGTAACAAATTTCCATAAAGTAGATGTCTCACTAAATTACTATGCTGTCATGCTGTTTTGCTGCTGTCAAGTTATGGGGAAACTTACTGGGTGGTCTTTCTGGTTTCTTGTTTTTTTTTTTTTCTTGCCTTTTTTTCGTAACCAAAATGCTCAACTTCAAGTTGCACTAGCTTGACACTTGTCATCTAATGGGAAAATGTGCAAATAGTAATTCTTAAGCAGTCTTCAAAAAACCCACTTTAATAAAAGCTGTATGTTATTTGGGTTCTTCAGTGTTGTCCTCCAGTTGAAATAGTTCCATATGAATTTGTACTGTTAGTCACTTGCAGCTGAAATGTTAATTCTTGAAATTAGTATTTATCATTGCACTGTGTCTAATAGCAGTGTTATGAAACACTTCTAATGTAAAGTGAAATTCTTATTTTGACTGAAGTTTGTGGATTCAGTACAGTCACTGTCTTGAATATATTGTATTTTGAGTGTTGTGTTCCTCTCTTATGTGGTCTTCAATACTTACAAGGCTGTTGTATAGGATTGAAAACTTAATTAAAAGCACTGAGTTACATATAATGGTGTAACTTGCCTTACACAGGTGTAAATTACTTTATTCTGTGTACTTGAGGGCAGTCATCTTTATTTGTAAACAGCTTTCCACAAACTGAAAGACTGCTGTTTGTTTTAAATAATTTCAAATCTGTTTCGATACTTTCCACCCTTCTATCTTGTCATAATTTATCTTGGCCCACTGATCAGCGGTACTCGTACTAGTCATTTAGAGTTTTCTGATCAGCAAGGTTCAGCCTTTGAACTGCCAGCTGCCCACTTTTGTTCAGGCAGGTTTGTTCGATAGGAGAGGCAGAAATGGAAATGGCCTGTTAATCACAGCTTATGGTAACTCAGTTTTTTTGTTGGTTATGTGGTCATTCTCCAGGTCATTGTCAACGTTCAGTCAGATTAAAATGTTGTGCTATGTATTATCAAAATAAATTGTATTCTATGATAGCTGACATTATTTAAAGTTCATTTTTTAGATTACTTTTTCAATCCTTTTGACATTTGTCAGCAAAGCTGTAGTGTTTGTTACATGGCATGATACTTAGAGGAGAAAAGATTTAATGTGTTTATAAAGCACACAAAGGCTTATTTTGCTCACAGACTACCCAAAGCTTATACTCATTACTTTTGTTTATGTACTTGTAAGCCAATATTAATAAATCACCATGAGCAATATTAGTCACTTAATGGCATATTGTCTTCAATATAATCTTTTTGTGAATATGTAAATATTTCTATTGATAGAACTTAAGTAAGGCAGTTCCTTCTACCAGTTTGTCAACTTGCACTTTTCTTGTTGATAGAATAATAGAAATTAATTTCACAAGCTTGAACCAACATCAGCAGTGGTTGCGCCCCATGAAAAATACTGGACAAAACTTTACAGAAAGATAATTAGATTTGACTCTGTGAGCTTCATGCTTCCTTTTTTTTTTTGACTTGGAAGACATCTGCTTTCTAGATCTCTAATTTGAACCCTGACCTTTTTTTTCTTCATTCTTCTCATGAGATCAGTGGCCAAACAGGTGCAAAATTGTTTTAAATATTTAAACAGAAGATGAGACCGGAAGGAAAAAGGGGTGTAAATAAGCAGAATTATCTGACCAGTAGTTAACCTGGGAAGAACCATCTTTATGAAACCTATAAATTGAGCATCTCAAATGATTGCGATTCTGTGAAAAATGATGCTGATATTTTGCAGTGACACTGAAGTATTGTGTTTTTTCAGGCTAGTGGCTTTCTCAAATACATATAAATATTTTTTGTAGTTGTTAGCACTTATCAATAGATAGAAAGAGCAAATGAATTTGAAGTGTGTGTGCATATACACTTTGATCATTGCAATAGCTTTTTTAATTGACACAGTAGCACCTGTGAGGCCTTTTAACTCTCCTGCATATTTATGGTAAATCTGTTTAGTATAGATTAACATGCTTGCCCTTGAATTAAGACTGCTGGTAAAGCACCTTAAATGAATTCATAGCTGTACTTAAAGGATACATGAAACACTCATAACTTCCTGGTATTTATAAGCATCTGCTTGTTCATCAGAAGTGTTTCTAATGGTATGACTGAATATGTGCAATTTGTTCAGAAACAGTTTTCTCAGTCCGTTTTTGGGCAGTGTGGACATAGTGTCTTTTTTTTTTTTTTCTTGACAGTAAATTAGCTGAATCTCAGTTTCACTCTCAATTAATAACAATGATTGAGCCAACCTTTTGAAGGGAATTATCTACCTTAAAAATTCTGTGGTTTGTACCACATGGAGATGCTTTTTCCTTACATTGATGCCCTTTCTGAGCCAACTACCCCAAACCAAACTATCTCTGCAGTACAGTGTGGTCTGTGCCAACAGAGGGAGTTATGCCAATAAATTGATATTAAACCTTGTCAATATTTTCTAATGAAGAGAAATAAGAGTATAATTCTGGGATAAGACACTTCTTAAACATGTCCCAGTAGAGCTATCCTGTTTTACAAATCAAATTTAAACTTTGAATCCACTTTCTCCTGTCTCTCCTGATTCAAATAATGCTTTTTTCCTCCATCAGGTCTTACATGAAACATTTTCCCATCATACATTTTTAATGAATGGTCTTATTCAAGGTGTTAAGGTAAGAATTTTTAAAACCCTGAATAAATATTTCGTGTGTTCCTGTATTGTAATTTGTCTGTCCTTCGTTCTCCATCAAAACATCCAAAATCCTGAGAATGTAGTTAATTCTTAAACCATTTTTTCATTGTAATGGTTGTATTCTTGGGTTTAGTTCAGGATTTACTGCTGAATGGTAGCACCTCGAAACAAGTGGAATATTTCTCAGAAGTTTAAATTACTCTCATTTGAATAGGTACAAGTTGTAGCTATTGTAATCTTGATAAGGATCCTTCTGAGAATGGAGCTAGGTTTTTAATGTCTGCTTCCTGTTGTTAGATGATTTATATCAAAAGCAGATTAATGCAGCCATGATGATACCATTGAGATAAAAAATGAAGCACTTAAAACACTGATTTTGTCCAAGACATGGTACAAAAGCTAATTTTCAGTAGGGTGTTTTATTTTTTTTCCTAGTCTTTTTTTTACCAGTTTTTGAGCATTCTGTTTGTGATGGTCAAGATGTTCAGGGCAGCTTATAGCTTATTTATACCACTGCAGTCACACAGTGGTTATGCTGGGTTGTTGCCACAAAAAAAAAGCTTGCAAAATTTCTCTAGCATAACTAAAACTTGAAAGTCTCTTCTTTGCTAACTGTGTTACACTAAGTGCTTTGAAGCCTCTCAGTAACTTATGACTAATCTAATTTATAGCACCCAGAAATTGTTTAGCGTTGTATTCTGTAACAAATCCAAAGTGTTGTTTTTAGCTGTAAGAACATGACATCTTTATGATGGACTTGCTGTTTTGATATCTTTCATGGTGGATTGTCTCAAACTGAAAGAGGAAGTTAACTTTGCATTGTTCTCTTAGAAAAACAAAGGTCATGTTCCTTCTGGTGTTTTCTTTCAAGTTCGTTTGTTCACAGTGCGGTATGAGTATCACTTAAAAGTAGTGAATGGAGAGTTCCCCATATATTTTCTACAGAGCGGCTCTGTAGAAAAGTGAATTAATATCATGGCCTAAATGTATGTATTGCTCTAACAGGTGTAATAAACAGGGGAGCATAGACCACAGTGAGCTTGCACTTAACTGTCCAGTATTTTCTTTAAAACGCTGTACATGAAACATCAAAAGTGTTTTGGGTGACAGCAGAACACATTAGTTTGTATTCTACTGAAATCTGACTCTAAGGAGCAAAAATATTAATTTCAGTCAAGGCGTCTAACTTTCCTAGTATCTGGTGGCCTGGCTTTATAGGTTTTGCTCTCAATTTACTTCCTGAAATCATTGGAATCAGAGTTGTTTACTGGGATTTGGCAGAATAGTGATTTAGTACAGTATTATCTGTGCATATTATCTGTGCAACTTGAAACTAAGTATATTTGAATAGCAGAGGTTAGTTAAATTAGCTGGAGGAGACCTCTAGTGTATTGAGGTGCTTACAGAACCATGTATTTACTAATGTTTGGATTTATGGCAGAGTTGGATTGCTGAGAGAACAATATACTAATTAGGAGGATGATGCATCTGTTCTGGAGGTTTTGCAGTTAAACCTGTGAAAGGCTTTGCTTATTTTAATTCTGTGTAATACAGAACAGATTTGAGGCCTAGATCTAGGGCTTTATGAAACGCTGAAAAATCTAGTATTTGATCCTTAGTCAGTGTTTTCCATGACAACTGTACCTGTAAGTCTGACTTTTGCAACTGGAATATCATTATGGTGTTCCACTGTCTCAAGGTGTCAAGCTTGCTCAAATGGTCCTCATAGTTCTTGCAATGTACGAACGTCCTGTACATGACAAATATGTAGTATAAAGCAATGTGTTCTGTTTAATTTGTTTCAGAGAACAGTTAACTCAGTTCAATTATTTCAGTTAATTCAAAACTCTCCCTTAAGATATTTCAAATTGGAGGGGAATTTGGTTTTGGGATCTAGCACTAAGTCTTGTGATAGAGGCTAAGAAGATATTCTTTGTGAAACTACACTGTAGATTTTTGGGATTTTTAAGAAGCTTTGCAGTCTGTGGTACTTCTATATTGAAAAAATGCATGCCTCTTTTTTTGAATGCACTCAGGTTTAATAGATTTGAAACATAAAATGTCAGAGTCACAGAAAAGTAGAGTGTAGAAGAAATTGTGTACAATTTCAGTTATCTTTGATTTTTATTTAATTTCAAATCAAATCACAATTTTAGTCCTTTTTTTTATCTTGTGGTTAAACTTGGAAATGTCAATATAGACATATTAATTGTTTTCCTTCTGTCACAGGGTTTTTTGTCCTTTCTCAGTGCTCCACTAATAGGTGCCCTATCAGATGCATGGGGAAGAAAATCTTTTCTTCTTCTTACAGTTTTCTTCACCTGTGCCCCGATTCCGTTAATGAGGATAAGTCCATGGTAAGTGGTACAGACTGCAGTAGTGAGCTTATCAGTACAGCAGAAATCGAATCAGAGGAGTAGTTTGGGGAAGTAGAAGCAGCACAATAAGACAAGAGAGAGTCACTTTCCTTTCGAGATGCAATTGCATTATTCTGGAGCTTTTCTGTTTAAAAGGTGTTAAAACTGTGTATCTTAAAAGCAGAAAATACGGAATGTGATTTTAGTTACTGTATTCACACAAGTATAACAGTAATTGAAATGGTTTGATAGCCCTGTCTATCACAGTTTTCAGCTCAGCTGTTAATCTTTTTTCTCCTGAGGGCTGACAGTAAAAAAAAAAAAAAATCAACATATTTTTAAAGCTACATGAACCTTAGAAATTGTTGACCACAGAAAAGTGTAATTACTGCAAGCGAGATCTTTTAACTCTTTGATTAAACAACTTTGAAGTCTTAACTGAGTGGAATTGACTTGCTTTCAGTTTCATTTACATTCACGGTGAAACTTAGCAGGCTTACAAAAGAACTTTGTGTACGCTGAATGCATTCAAAGTTCAGCTTCCAAAGCATTTTATATATGATAGTTTATTCCTTAGCTGTTTGAGAAACTGAGTTCTAAGAAAATTCCTTTTCCATAACTTGAACTTGCTTCAGCTTTGAGAGTGTGAAAATGTATAGGTGCCATTTCCTGAAGGGGCCACTCCTTTAGGCTGATGTAAAGTAAACAGTAGAATATAAAAAATTAAAATGCTGTTTTCCAATATTTAAGTGAGGCTACACAGTCACTCTATCTTAGTTCTTGAGGAACACTTCTCATAGATTAAATACAAACTTGCTTGATTAGTAAGAGAAAAGCAGGGGGTCTTAGCTTAAACTTTCTAATTGTTGCTTTTAAATCATTAGGTGGTACTTCGCTATGATTTCGGTATCTGGAATCTTTTCTGTTACGTTTTCTGTAATATTTGCCTATGTAGCTGATGTAACACAAGAACATGAAAGAATTACAGCCTATGGACTGGTAAGAGACACTAAACTTGGAAAAAAAAGATCAGATTATGACCTTCGTATTGAACTTGTGTTTTGATGCACAGATTGTTTCCTTATTAATGTACTGAGGTTGATAGAGAAAAGAATGAACCATGCATCAAGGCACTGCATTAGAGTTTAGGAAATCTAATTCAGAGTTTTTACTGCTGTACAGACTGCTCTGTACATATAAGAACAAAATAAGAATTTGACAACTTTACCTGCATAGAGTGCATGTGTAACAAAACATGTTTTAAGGTTTGCAGGCAGAACAAGAAACATTGTTAAATGCAATGCAAGTTATTTAATACTTGATCTGGCAATATCTTTCCACCTGTAAATTGCACTTTTAGTTTACATTATTTCTTTTTAATATAGAATGGCTTTTTCCATAGTCAGAACAGGCAGAAGGGTGAAAATGCATAATACATTATTTTTAGTAACTCAGTCATGACCTTTATTAATTAGCAGGAGATGAGGATAATAGTTCTGTTAGTACAAACCAGCCTTTCCAGTAATAATATAATTCCTGCTTTCATGAATATCTGTATTGCTTTAGGTTTTGGAGGCCCACTGGTAGATGCCCTTAGCCTTTGAATATCATTTATCCCTTCATCCTCTGTGCCTCTGTTTTCACTATACAGATAGATGGATAGATAGATTCATGGACTTGATTCTTGGCTGACTGTACTGTACTTACAGGTCTTAAGATTTCCTTTTATTTTTAGCCTTAGAGACATATTGATTCATCAGATATTGATTTAACAGTTGAGAAAATAAAGGACTTAATTATCTTGAACCAAACTTGTGTGTATTGTAGCAGAGCACAAAACAGGTTTAAAATTTTTGGAATTCCCACTTTATTCCTCCTGCCTGTAAAGAGGGCGATAAGTATATTTAAAGCATCTATTTGCCTGCCTTCAAACAGTTTTTTGTTAACAGAAACAGCTTGATCTAAAAGTCTATAAAGTGATAGACAAAAGTGCAGTTGTTTTAATTAGGTCTGGATCTCTTTATAAAATTGATTTGTTGTTATACCTTTTCCTTAGGATTTTTTTCTAGCTTGGTATAAAGCTATATTTCTAGCCTGTGTTCTTATTCTATGAAATAGTTATGCAAAGTGTTTTTATTTTGGGGTCTGGAAAAGAGTAGTAATTAAAAAAACCCAAACAAACTAGCTTTATTCTATTATTTTCTGATGATTTTTATAGTGACATTTAGCTACAGCACTTGATTTTTTTTGTCATGTTCCACTGTATATGAATACAGTGAGTGATCTAATAGTAGCTGCATGTCACTACAACATAGTATGAAGCAATACAGTAGATGCTGAAGTTGTTGTCATAGCTAATGATCTCCTAGTTTGCCGTGCTATTCAGTGGTAGATAGGTGTTTAAAATGCAAACTGTTAACAAAGGCATTATATATTACTCTATGTTTTACCCAGAGTGCTGTGGCTCAGGTTCACTTAGGCAGACATTTAAATGTGCCGGCAACTCTTTCAGTGAAATCTCATCAAATTCATAATTGGGAAACAAAAACTGTGAAATTCTATTTAAAAGTAAGAGCGCTTTCCCTTTGAGCCAAACTTTCTCTTTGACTGCAAGTCCTGTCTCATATGGCGGGCTGTGGAGGACGTTGGAGAAACTTTATTTGGACCCATATTTAGTGTCATAATTATTTTCTTTGTTTCTAGCTTAAATTTTGACTGGTGTTTTGTTTTGAAACCACACTTCTGAGAGGGGTGGTGGTGTTAAGCAAGCTACTTCATTTTTTTGTAATGGCAGAATAACCACTTCGACAAGTTTGTAAACTGTTCTTGTGCATAGGTATCTGCCACCTTTGCAGCAAGTTTGGTTACTAGTCCTGCCATTGGAGCGTACCTTTCTGCCAGCTATGGAGATAACCTTGTCGTACTGGTGGCCACATTGGTGGCTGTTGTGGACATCTGCTTCATCCTGCTAGCTGTACCAGAATCTCTGCCAGAAAAAATGAGGCCTACTTCATGGGGAGCTTCTATATCATGGGAACAAGCAGATCCTTTTGCAGTAAGATACAATTCAATAAGTAATTAATAAATAATTGATGAATAATAATAATAATAATAATTAGTTGCATTTTGTAACCTTGAGAAATCTTTAATCTTATTGGTAGCTTGACTGTTCAGTATACCATAATCTCTGTTCTCTGCTCTTGCATTGAAAAAATCTAGCTACATTTAAACATGAAAACCAAACCAAACTTTGTGGATTAAATGATTCTTGAATTGGAAATGATGTTTGGTGTGAAATCCAAAGGGCAAATGCTTTGCTTTTCTAACTTAATCTGTTTTATTGTAAGAGAAATGCTGAATTCTTACACTGCTACAGACCTGATGTTATAAGACTTTTCCAGATTCATTTTATGCTTTGTACTTTAGGTTGGCAATATCTCTCCCCACTGTTGAATTCTTCTTTTGGTTATATGTGATTTCTTTTTAATATAGAATGGATCTATGAAGCCTGATTTTTCTACAGGCATATATAGAAGTGTTGAAATGTATCATGCAGTCTTTCCAGTAACTTGTTCACTTATTCACAGTTACTCAGCT